GACCAAATCCTCTGTTCAGCATTCATCATGGTACTGTGATGCTAAGGAGGACCACGTTGCACTTTGATTTACTCATGGTAGAAAGAACCACAGAATCATCATAGAATCGCAGAATAGTCTGGGCTGGAAGGGAACATATAGATCATCTAATTTCAGTACCTCTCCCATGGGCAGGGACACCTTTGACTGGTTCCTCAGACCTCCATCCAGCCCAGCTTTTAATACTTCGTAGAACATCTGGAACTACTAATCCTTTAACTAGGGATTCAGCTTCCTAAATTCCCTTGAGTCATGTAACCTTCACTCTTCCCACAAAGCAGAAGCAAAATCTGACCCCCATTATGATAGCTGTTGTCATTATTATTGTTACTGATTTTATGTGGCATGGCAAGAGCTTCTGCCTCTAGTATTAAGGTGTAGCTCATGAACCTTTGGTAAAAAAATTATAGGATTAGGCCTCACAGAACCAGCCTAGAGATATTAAGAGGTGCATTTGAAAATTCATATTTCCCAAGAGGTCTATTCCCTAATGGTGAGCTTAATAACAAATGAGGTCTGAAAATGATATTCAGACCGTGTATTGTCTCTTACATCAGCTCTTAAAAAAAAAATCACATGATTTTTTTAAGTCATTGTGAAATGACTCTCTTCTACCTCCTCCACCATATTACTCTAATGTCTCTTGGGAAATACAGTATCAACATTGCACTGCTGCTTCTGCTCAAGTCAGTGATGCAGGAGGCCTGATGTGCCACCTCTGAGGTCAACAGCAAAATATCTTGTGTGTCAATGTGGGCAAGGTATTCAGAAGGTTGATAGAAGAAAGCAAAACAGAAAATCTGTCCTTGAAGTCTTGCTTTGACAGTGAGATTCCCCAGCTCCTACTGCTTTCCTAGGATCACAGCTCTGACTCCACCTCAGTTTCACCGCTGTCTGTTAATTTTCCTGTCTGTTTCAACAGGATGCACTGATACAGATTATTACTGCATTACATCCCAAATGAGAGGCAAATCGCTGACCTTTATGCAGGAGAACAAATCCCTTAGGTGATACAGCTGTTTTGCAGCAGTGGCTGTCTTGGAGCTCTCTGATGCCATATGGATTGGTGTGAGGGAGACAGGGCACAACTGACTGAAACACAGCTCCTCTTCTGAGTGCTGCACATCTCAGCAGGCACAAATTAGGATGTCTTGGACAGACCCACTGTCTGTTTACACCAGCTTCATGTGGAGACAGTACATTAAAGGCTATTCCTTTGAGCAGGATGGAATGGGCTGTCTCTCACCCTGACACACAGGAGGAAGGAGAGCAGCAACATAACTAGCTTGCAACAGTAGAGATTTCCTCACATGCCATCCTCACCTGTTATTGAGCCCACCTTCTCTCCTGAGTTAGATCTGACTGAGAGCTAAGCTGGCGTAAACCAAGGTGATCTTATTATTCTATTATCTTATTATTAATAAGTAGAGCCTGGCAGCACAAACACAAAAGCAACTGAATCTCCTCAACTTTGAATTTGTCCAGGTCAGAAATTTTCTGGAATCTGTACGATATCACTTGTGCCTCTTTTATATGCCTCCTTTCTTTTACTCATGGCCAGGACAAGTAAGTGGTGTGGTGCATATGCATATGCAGAACAGACTTCTGGGACACATCCATCCCTCGAATTTGATGGTTCCTGGGAGCTGTGCTCAGATCTCAGGTTCTAGCTTGTGCTATGTGAAAGTTGCATCAAGGGAAAATAACGGCATAGGCTAATAAATCATATTTCAAGGTGACCAAAATATAACTTCCGGGTTCCCCAAGGATTTGTGTCACTACTGCCTTTAATGAATGGTCTAAAAGGAAATTTTAAGCAACAATATGATGGTATTGATAATAATTAAGAGCAATAAAAGCTGGAGGAGCAATGGCAAAATCAAGAGGGGCCTAATAAAGCTGGATAAATGGGAAATGCAGCAGCAAATGAAAGGCAGCGTTGCTAGAAAATTTACTCTAGAAATAGTGATGCTAACTCTTTTCATGCATTCTTGAGTTCTGTATTTTGCTTTGAAGAGATGTGGAGTCCTTGACAGATGGTTTAAAGAACACTGCTACTCAGAGCCTAGGTGTGATGACCAGTGCAGGATAAAAGCGGCAGGTCATACAATCCATCAAGACAAGACAGAGATGGGTGGTAGGAAAAGTTAAGGAAAACATCACAGACTATATTGTTTGTCCATGGCCACTTGTAAAACCAAATGTAGAGCAGAGGGCTTGGGAATGTCATGCCTAGAGCCAGACTGAGCAGCAGGGATGCATCCCTAGAGGCCAGGACAGTAACTGAGAAGCATACAGCTGCAGGGGGCCATAGCATCATACAGATGGCCAGGATGGGGAGAATGAATCACTCTTTGTTTGCTAGACAGAGAGAGTTGAGATGGATTGCTTAGCCCTTATGCTCAGTTTTTAAGCGGCTGAAATTAATAAAATAACTTGCATGCTCTGTTATTTTTTCATCTGAGCCACAGATTTGCAGCCACAGCTGAGACTAGGGGATTGTTGCTGGATGGCAAGTCCTTTTGTTTTCCCCTGAGAACTGGCAGCTGTGGAAAAAACGTCATCAGAGGAACAAACCAAAATGAATAGTGGTAAAAGCTCTGTGCACTCAGACCAACCTTGGAGCACAAATGGGCTGGACACTGGTGAAGGCATGTAGGACCTTGTCCTAGCCCTCTGACATTTCTGCCCTTACACCAGGGTAGTGGATAGAGTGGGTGCTGTGCAGAACTGGGGCTGTCCCTTGGAGGTGTCTGGTGGTGTGGCAAAGCCCAGTCCCTCCACCATGGCAGGCTGAACTCCCTGGCTGTAAACCATAAGCAGGTTTTATGTAGTGCTGCAAATGTTCATGCACACTGCCACGCCTGCCCTTGAGCAGGAGGCTGAGGACCTGTGTGACCAGAGTGCTTGTTTCACCGACAGCACCTCACATTTCCTTTGGGCTTGGAGTCTTCACTCCTCTTCTACTCTGGGCCTACTGAGCCCTGATGTGCCTGAAAATTGATCTTTTTCATATATCATCAGGAAAACCAGGGGGTTCTTCTGTTTTGTTTGTGGTAGTTTAATAGATGCAAGCATTGGTTGTTGGCATAGAGATTTCACAGACTGCAGAAACACTGTCACCTGTTCCATAAAACAGAAAAAAAAAAGTGCCAGGCTGCCAAGTGCCTACTAAACACCAGCTGGTAAGTGTCACAACATCAAGCTGTGCAGCTATTGACTGTGATCACAAGTTGAGGCCAACCTGAGGACAATCAGAGAGCCTAAAGCTGACATGCAGCTTAGGAAGGTGGGTTATGAATTCCCCTGTGGCATGAGTGCAAGCCCCTAGCAAGAGGGCTGCTGGTCTTCCCGCACTGGGGGAAACACAGCCTGGGAAACTGCTCCTGGCTGCTGCACTGCCTGTCTTGCAGAGACCACTTCTGGGGGCTTCTGTGGAGTCAAAACAGACCCGTGAGGCAGCTTGTGCTGAGAAAACTCTCAGTCAATGCAGAAGGTTGAAGGCAATATGATGCTGGACTGTACTTTTAGGCCCCATTCTCCCACTCTGCCTACAATAGGAAATTTAAACTATGATGGAATCAAGATATGAAAAACAACCTTGAGGCTTTTTTGTTACAGTAGACTGTGACTACTGGGAGAGACAGTAATGGTCTGAAAATACCAAATCATAGCTCTGTGGAGCATCTATGTGTGTTGCAGGCTTGTATGGCTGCAAGGGGTACATGCCTTATACCTCCCCTGGAAGGCTTTCAGCAATGAGTATTCTGATGTTGTGGAAGACTGCCTAGAAAGCTTTAACAGCAAGGGCTTTAAGGAGAAAGAGGAATCTGCTTAAAATATGTAAAACTAATGTTTAGATCAGACAGGGAAGTGGTGGAATAGATGTCCTCCTGTGTTCTGTGGTATCACTGGTGGCAGAAGGCAAGGAAGCTCTTAGACTTTCATCAGCAGCTTTGTGTCCTTTACATGACTTCTGTGAGCATGATGGCTGCAGTTTTAGTTTAATGTTTTAAAATCAATATGACATATGAGAGTGAGTGCTATGGTATGAGTAAAAAAATCACTATCAAATAGTTGTCAGTGATCTTTTTGCATGGTGTAAAGCATGTTCAGGTCATAAGCAGAACCCTTGACATATTATGAAGGTCCAGATTTTCATCACATCAGATTAGCAAGCAAGAAGTCACTAAAACCGTTTTTCCTTGGTGGATGCATGACTTTGTGTGAGTCTATGGAAACAAGGCTCCTGTCTTAAAATTGGTATAACCTAAGGTTAGGCAAAGTAGAGACTGCTATGTTTTGTGCACATTTGCAACAGGAACTGAGTACAGCATGCCCATAGTAAAGTGTGGTAACTGAGTGGTTGTGTGCATATCTACTTTCTGGGCAATTGGAGGTGTATAAAGTCCATAGATAGAAATAAACCTGCAAATTCCATTGCAGACTGTTCTGCTTTCAGAGGCCTTTTGTCACTTTCCATGAAACTTGTGTTAGTGTAATTTCCCTAGCTCTTCTCATTTATACATGCAAACGAGAGAGGATCCAGGTGCAAAACTGACTGCAGAGTAAGAATAAATAGACATTTTATCTTAGTCTGTCATGTCTCTGAAGGCATGAGACTCTATCAGGGCTGTGTAACTGGTTTCCAGATGTATCAATGCCCCAGCCTTAGTGTTTCAAAAATATCAGGCAAGACTGTTTTGACTTCAGCATGATTTGATTAGAAAAGTAGCTAGTCTGGTGGGCTGTACTTGGGCTGATTCACTGCTAGGGGCAATGTCCAAGTGAACAGTGATAAAAGAAGCAGACAATCTGCTCGATTCTGCAAACTGAAGCCTTGTCTCCTTGACATGATGCTGATGAACCATTTTTTTCTTGATGCTCAAGGCATGTAAAGCTGCAGATAAGCACTAACTGCTGTGTGCAAAGCAGTCAATAAATTTCCATCAGACTTTCCCTTCTGTTTAACTTTTATTAAAAGAGGTGCTAAGGTACTGTACTGTATGCAGTACATCATATTTATTACCAAAATTAACAAATATACAAAACTTATACATGTAATTTTCTTACATCCATTTATTGGTCTATAATACTGCATTTGTTCAAGTAGGTTATCTACAGTATGTAAACATCCCTTGGATTGACCTCACACAGATTAGGAAAGCCCATCTAACCCATGTAGTTACCAAATATAGCTTTTTCTTATTTTAAAATTTATTTGGCTTTCATTGGTAGAATCTAATCTTCACATTTGGCACATGGAAGAGACATCTACAGTGCAAAAAGAGGCAGATTTTCTGGTTTTGTTCTGAGCAGTTTAGAGAGTCATGGTTTTAAAGAGTCAAGAATAAATTTACACAAACTCGACAGGAGATGGATTAGTGTTAACGCCAATAACTCACAGATCAGCCATTAAACTAGAGCAGAAATTCAAAGCCTCTTCCCCAGCCCTCTCAGTCACATGGGAAAAAACCCCCCAACCTCAGCCTTGTTTCTAAAGGATTAAAAAAGAACTCTGTTAGCAACAGAGGGAGGAGTTTAGTTTACAAGGAGCCCTCTGAGATTCCAGTTTCAATTTTCTGCTTTGCAGATTTTTTTCTCTTGTTAGCAAGCAATTCTTTTCTGTTTTAATGGGAAAAAAAATGACCAGTGAGAAGCAACTTGTCTGTGGTGGCAATTTCAGTTGGAGTTTACAGATCTTTGAACCCTATGTATAGAGCTCAGTAAGCTGCCGTGTACAAAGGGGAGAGAAAGGAAGAGAGAGAGAGAGAGAGAGAAAGAGAGAGAGAGAGAGCGAGCAATGCCATATTCCAGGTGTGAAGCTCTCCAATTTTGCTGTAAGAACCAGGAAAAAGCTTCCTTCCTTCCGTTTCTCATAGTTTCAAAAATGTGACTTAGTTTAACTGAGTAAAGCTGATCCAGAGAGACCTTCATTCGCACCCTCCTTCCCATTCTCATCCAAGCACTGTATTGCTATTTTTTTATGAGGCCTCACCCATGTCCATGGAAGCATCTGATGAGAATGGACCGAACCGGACACCGTTTCACATGGAAAGCCCTCTGCCATTCCTTGTCTGTTACCACAGAGCCCCGCTGCTGTCTGTGGCCCCGTACATCTCGGCCAGCTTCTTGAAGCGCGGCCCCCAGTCCGTCAGGTAGTCGTAGCTCTGGTCTGAGTCTGTCGTCACGGACTGTAAGGAGCTGAGCGACTCCGCCACCGAGCCGTTCCCTTCAAACATGTAGGTCTGCAGGGAGTCGAAGGGAGGCGCCCACAGGTCCATGTCAGCTTCGTACAGCTTGGCAAGCACGTAGTTGTGGACGTTGTTGTCCATGATGCAGGCCTGAGGCACGTATCGGGAGAGGCTCTCTATTTCAGGGAGCATGTCCTGCCGGTTCTTCACCACCAGCTGGGCCTCCCGCGGGTTCCACATGGCAGCGATGTCAAAGGCCTCCGTGTCCTCCTCCCCGCCACCCTCATCATCATACCTGACGATGTTTTCGTGGATGTTCTCCTCCTCGTCGATGATGTACGGCTGCTTCCGCTGGCGCCGCATGGAGAGGATGAGGAGCACCAACACTGAGGGAGCCAAGCAAGACATGGGGCTGTCAGCAAGGAGGCAGATCTTGCCAGGGCTTCAGACTTTCCTCTGCCCTACTTTCCCCTGGGTGAGCCCAACTAGCTCCTTGGATTTAAAGAGCTGTGGTGTTTGCCAGCTGAGAGGTGTAGAAATCTCTCACTACCTAGTCAAAATTGGTAGCTTGAGGTGCTGCTAATCTGTGCCCTTTGTCATCTGAATTCTTAACTCTTGAATTCTTAACCTAGGACATATATATCCAGTGGTGCTTGCCACTTTAAAGCTAGCCAGCTCAGAGGTCAGTAGCAGTTTATCTGCAGCACCATAGTGCCACAGAGATATTTTGTTTTCTGCTCTGCGGGTGGATTTTTCAGCCTGCTTTGGGGATGTCTCTTGGGCTGGTCACTGCATATGACAGAGATGGATGGTCCTAAGGCACCACAGTGATATGTCTGCCTACACAGCAAAATTCAGAGCTTGTCCCTTGGTCTGCTGTAACGAGTTGTTTATCTGCAAGCCTCCTACAGTGCTGCAGTGCTGGTGCTCCTTTCCCTCGCTGTGCTTTTTAGCAAGGGAAAAAATGGTCATACAGGCACCAGAGCCCTTTGATACTGAATATGTGCCATCACTTGGTGACTATTTCCAGAGTTAGAACTCAGCAAATATTTTGGATACTGAAATTTTGAACTGAGGTATCTAGGCTCCTTTGAACAGCCAGAATTGAGGCACTTTTAAAGAATTTTTCCTGTATCTTACTACACTGTTCCTCAAACTGGGTCCCCTGAAATTTCAGGGAATGTGTGTTTTGAACTAGGTATCGCATGATTTGAGAGAGTGAACAAGGGAACTGAAGTTCTTTTGATACCAACAGCTAACAGGGGACATAGGATGTCTGGGCAAGGAAAGCATGAAATTTAATTATGGAGACAGAACTCATGCAAGATGCTCAGGCCCTTTACTACAGCACAGGCACCATTTAAATGTAGAGTCTCAAGGTAAAAAGGATGGGGGTGGGGACATCTCTCTCCAAAAGACAAGAAAAGGAACTGGGTTTACCCCTACTGTTTCCTGTGGAGCAGGATGAGAAACTAACCTGCCCCAATCCACAGCTCTCAATACTTCCCACTGCCATATCTTTGCAGGAAAGCATGGCCATATCAGACACCCTAGCACTTTAGGCATCTGGCAGAAATATTTGCAGGCTATAGTTTTCCCCCATTCCTACAGTCCAGAGCCTGAAGCCATAGGCAGCTGACTACACCATCGGGTCCTTGATTTGGCCCTTTAGGAATGCGCCTATGTATACACATATACATAGATGTGTGTCTTTGGGTCCTACACCTTTGGTGGATCAGAACAGAAAAGTCCGTCCCTCCCAAGAAGAAGTGAAGGCTTTACCTAGCAGGACAAAGATGCAGGCGAGGATGGCAATGAGTGCCCCTCGGCTCAGGCTGACAGGGAGGACGTAGGCCTCGGCGTTGCAGGACATCACCATGCCCTCCTCATCGCAGCTGCACACGTGCACGGTCAGCGTGCCCGTGCTGCTCAGCACCGGGCGCCCGTTGTCGCTGATCAGGATGGGCAGGTAAAAGGTGTTCTGCTCGTGTTGTCTGAAGCCAGAGCGCCTTGTCAAAATCCACGCTGTATTGTCTATGGGCAGGAAATAAACAGGAAATAAACAGAGAGAAGAGCTTATGTGCAGAGCAAATACATTCAGCAGAGAAAAAATGTTAAAGAAATCAGCCCTAGACCCACATCCATTTTTTTCTTCTCTCCTCTTCTTCATTTTTTCTTTAGTCAGTTCATCACTAATCATTTTGCCTCAGCTTCCCCTGTTCCAGTATCTTCTCAGGCCATAGATTCAAACCTGAGAGGCATATACACCTTAGGACCTGCCTTTAACCCTTCTGATATAAAGTGCCCAGAGCAAACTCACAGTGTTCAGATTTAGTGAAGAGAGCTTTCAGAGGGCAAGACAGAAATGAACAGTTGAAGGCAACTTGTTGTCCCTGTTTGCTTATGCTCAGCAGCTTTTCTAGATCTCAGATGCTGCCACCATGTTGGAGATGCTGGCATGTAACCTTTGTGGATATGTTATGGCACTCTTTTTTTGGTTTGGCACTCTGTTTTTGATACATGGCAGGGTTATCTGCTTGAGGCAACAAGGAGACAAAGGAAAAAATCCAGCTTGCTATCCTAAAGCAGCAGTGAGTTGAAAATTCACAACTAAACATTTTTTCTGTGAAATACATGCAATTTCAGTAGTACTTCTGTCAGAAAAAAGTCAGGATGCTTCATGTCATTATTGTCAGAATTATTCTGCTTTCATTTGACCATTCTGCTTCATTTAGTGTCACTGCCTGTTTTTTAATAAAAACTTAAATCAAAAGGAATCAAAATGATGCTGCTGACAAAAATAGTAAAAGAGTGACCTAACAGCCAGTTGCTGTTGGCCACTTCAAGGGAAATTCCTACCTTTGGGGCTTTTTTCTTCATATTCAACATGGTTTTTTTTTAATGTCAAAATTAACCAGTGGCATTTGAATTCCTGTCTATCTTCTCCCTCAAATTCCTCAGATTGTGCATAAATTTTCATAATAAAAAAAAGGTGGGAAGAAAAGGTGAAAAAGAAATGGAAAGTGGATTCAGGAAGCTGTTCTCAATTCCCATCTCAGGATGCCAAAGCAAAACTTTGGAGATGAGTGTTGATTTTGTCAGTGATGACTTTGAGCCTATTGGAAAGGGCAAGATTGAATGTCTCCAATGAGATCTGGCTCTCCAATGAGTCTAAAGGAGCTTGCATGAAAATTGTCCTTTCTTACAAACATGTCTGCAAGGCTTGGGCCAGGAAAGATAAATGAGGAACACAGGTACTTTTTTTTCTGGCAGACGTACAAGCTCTGATTCTGTGCACTCATGCTGTGGCATTTTTTGGGAGATATCTTCATGCAGTTTCTTTTACTACTTAGTTTTGTTTCCCATTCCCTTGGTTCAGAACAGGTCAAACAGTCTGGCCATCTGCATCTCCAGGTTGTTACCAAGGAACATTGCTATGTTTGAAAATGCAGGATGCTGATCAACTGTTCTCAGGTGGATTGACACAATGGGATTGCTACCTGGAAATGGTAAGAAACCTTCTGATCACAAGTAGACTGTGAAAAAACCTAAAATATTAACATAGAAGTGTTAAATTTCCATATTATTTCTCTGTTCATTCACTGCTAAGATTTAAATATTAGGTGATTTTTTTTTCAGTGTAGAGACTCAGGTTACATGCAGATAAATTCAGCTATATTACCTACTGTAGTCTGGACACCAAAAATGATTTGATGGCTTTTTGAAGGGAAATCAGGATTGTCATATACAGCCAGCTATGGAATATAGGCAAGCTCAAGCTAGACTAGCCAGATTTGTCTCCTAGACTTAAACTAAACCAAATTACAAACTCTGTGCTGCAAATCTCATAGCATCAGAGAGTGCACCTAAGTATTGAGATGTCAGGTTCCACAGTTTATGAGATTAATTTAAATTTGTGACATGTTTTTAAAAAGAATCCCAGGGTCTTTTTTCTTGCACATCAATGACATTTCAAGCTTTTACTCTGAAAGCATAAAATTCTGAAGTGTGCTGCATGTCTGCATGCAAATATATAGTGAAATTGTAGTGTCTTGTTAAATCATGTCATCCCAAGAGCTTTAAGAAAAAACCACCATGTGCCAGATGAAATTCAAAAGTTTCTTAAAACTAGTTATGTGTCAGTGTTTATTGATTTCACCTTTGCTATGCAATGCAGCTCTGCGTATGTGCAGTGGGTATGGACAGACATAGGTAGGTCTCTTCCTAGGAACAAGAAATAGGACAAGAGGAAACAGCCTCAAGTTGTGCCAGGGGAGGCTTGGATATTAGGAAAAATATCCTCACTGAATGGATGATCAGGCACTGGAAAAGGTTGTCCAGAGAAGAGTTTGAGTCACCATCCCTGGAGACAATCAAAAGATGTGTAGATGGGGCACTTAGGACCATGGTTTAGTGGTGGACTTGGCAGCATTAGATTAACAGTTGGACCCAATGATTTTGGAGGCCTTTTCTGATCTAAATAACTCTGTGATTCAGGAATGTGTCCCAAAACTCATCAGAGAGCAGTACCCTGTGCCTCCCACAGCTCCTGGGCAAAGGGAGTGCTGTGGACAGGAGCCCTTGCTTGCTCAAACCTTTCTCTTCTCTCTCCTGGGGCACATACAAGTGCTTTCTCTCCCTTGGGCTGTTTATGTGCTCTCTATATGTGCTCCACACCTGTTTCATCACTGGGTCAGTGATGGCATGAGGAAAAGCAGCCCAAAGGCAGAAAGTGGCAAAGTGCCTGCATTTATGCTATTTCAATGAAAATACTTGAGTCGCCCTAACTGTAGTAATTTGGTTGTTTTTCTCTTTCCTGGGTGAAAGATTCACTTTCTTTAAACTGACTTACAATAGAAGTCACAACTTCTATTCAGGTGACAGCAAACCTTCATTTCATGTAAAATTTCTCTTTGTGAGGGGGAAAAAAATTAGTTTTTCTGAGCTGGTCAAACTTTGCCCGTAGAAGTCACAGGCAGTGAACCTGACAGAAGCTGCGCAAGCTCAGCTAGTGAGAGATCTCAAGGGTTTTTAATCATTCTTTTTTCAGGCCAAAACCACATTTCTATAATCTAATATTGAAAGATATATATCTTCTGCTGTGATGGGCTGACCGTATCATCCAGGTCTTAAATGTTCTTGGTGATTAAATTCTTTTTGTAACTTCCAGCATTACATTTCAGGCCTTTTGTTTCATTTTGCTTTGTACTAGGCAGGCATCCAAATCATCCCTAAATAATTGTTCTACCTGTTACTCTGCAACTGAAATACATTGGTGCCAAAGCTTCTTGTGTGACTCATCAAAAGCCAATGTGATTTGACGTGCGAAGGACATGCTGGAATGTGATGCAGCATGGCAGAAACTTGAATACACAATTTTATTCCAAATTTGATATCTGCTAAGCCCCAGCCATCAAGAGAAGAGGGCTTGTGAGGACATGAGAGCCCTATTATATTAAAAAAAAAATAAGAGTAAGCACAATAAGAATGCCTAATATTTTTCCTCCCAGCTTCCAACACAGCACCTTTGGCTTGTAGAGGGCTGGATGGCAGCACTTAGCTCCAACACTGAGCAGAGATGCTGAAGATTGCAGCATGGCTGGTTCCACATTTGTGTGAAAACTGAACTTCCCACAGGTGTGCAGGCTGGTGTCTTCGTGTGGTTGTGAGAACAAGCCATGGAGCACCATCTTCCTGCAGTTTTCCATCTCACTGGAAATGATGTACCTCTCTGGAGAGGTCAAGGGAATTAACCACTGTGTAGGTCCCAACCTTGAGATCAGAGCTAAGCACTGCTCTTCTCACAAGAAAGGCTTGGTTTCTTTCTGCATGCATCTGCAGAAGAGCTGGGGATAATTAACCTGATAATTCTTTTAGGCTTTAAAAACTGATTGTAATAATTATGAAGAGTTAGGAATAATATAAAGAAAGATTCTGCCAGGAGTGGGAGAAAGAACACAAGGAAGCAGTCAATCTAGACACGACTGGGTTGGGGAAAGAGTCACACTTTTCCTTGAGGATTTTCAGCTCACTGCTTACATGTGTGAAGTAGACCACAGTTTTAAGGAAGGCAGAAATAACTAAAAATTTTTCTAGGACAAATTTAATTGTGTTGTGAAGGACTGTCAGAGGCTTCCAGTGACAGACCTGGTCAGGGTATGACCAATCTGATCCTGCATCCATTAAAAAAGGCTTCTCTCTTCAATAGTTCCTGGTTACTAAAGATGGAAGGCAGTGATTAAGGCTCAACAGAAGATCAGCTCAGAGTTTAATCTGGAAATGCAGTTAGCTTATTTTGTTGTTCATTCTTACAGCAAGCCTCTCTAACTTTTTCCCAGAGTAGTCTCACTTGGAAGAAGGTGGAAGGAGGATGGCTTGACAATGCCCTGCAGCCGACACCGAAGAGAAGGGAGACTCCAGCTCAATTCCCTTCATCACATTTATCCTATAAGGCCTTGAGAAGCCATTTGTGCTCAGGTCATTGCAGCTACTTAACATGTCTATTTCTCACTGATTTTACTGAACTCAAAGAGAACCCAGCGTGTAAGTAGCTTAATTTCTCCTTGCCCCAGATCCCCATCTATAAAGCAGAACAATAGCATTTCTCTGTCTGCTGAAGAAGATATGCAAAGAATGAATAGACTGAAGAAGTTCTCAGAGACTAAAATTACAAGGGCCAAAAAAATATGTAAAACAGCTCATCAGAATGCAAACTGTGATCTATCTGTTGCTCAGTATAAATCAAGGTTTTAATTGTTGCCAAGAAGGCTACATGTCTTGCAGTTTCTCTTACTGCTATATTGGACAACCAAGTAATCAGCACAATTGCTAATCTTAACAGTGCCTTCCCACAGCCTGGGAAGCATTCCTGTCTCGTGTTTATGGGCACAGGCTGTGACTAGCAAAGTGCATTCTGTTTCTTGGCTAGCCACCCTGTGACAAACAGTATAGTTACCCCCTCTGTGCCCAAGTTACATGATTTATATAGTTCTTAGTGGCCCCTAGATGAAAATATAAGCATAAATTACTTTTACTGAAATGACTACTGCACTCCAAATTGCTGAGGCAGTAAATAAACCCTTAATCATAGAATCATAAAATATGCTGAGTTGTAAGGGACCCATCAGGATAATTGAGTCCAACTCCTGGTCCTGCACAGGATACCTCAAGAGTCACACTGTGCTGAGAGCTTTTCCCAAATGCTTCTTGAACTGAGACAGGTTTGGTGCTTTCACCGCTTCCCTGGGGAGCCTTTCCAGTGCTCATACAGCCTCTGGGTGAAAAATGTCTACCTCATATTCAACTTAAACCTCCCCTGACTCAGTTTCATGCTGCTTTGTCGAGTCCTGTCACTGGTCACCACAGAGAAGAGATCAGTACCTGACCCCCTGCTTCCCCTCACAAGGAAATTACAGACTCAGTCTCCTCCAGGCTGAACAGACCAAGTGACCCCAGCTGCACCCATACAGCTTCCCCTTAAACCCTTCACCATCCTCACAGCCCTCCTTTGGATGCTCTCTAATAGCTTAATATTCTTCTTATACTAGCTGGATCATTCAAATAGTCAGTGGTTTGATACTTGCCATTTTTATTTCAAATTAGTAACTAACAGTACCCTAAACTTCTTCTGATATATATATATACATACATACATACATACATATGTAAAACTAAAACTGGTATTTTATACAGAGTGGGAGGCACAGCCATTCAGTCACTGCTGTCACTATAAATTATTGCAAGTATGGCCTTAGACAGAAAAAGTGCATCTGATGCTGGGAGTTTTGCGAGTTTCTTTTTTTAGAACAATGCCTTGAGGATGAAATAAGCTTGCTTTGCCAAATGCTTTAGCAATAGTTTTGTTATATTTTTTCATTTATTTTGGCAATATATACTCACAAGTGAAAAATACAGGGAGAGAAAAAGGGGATAAAAATGCAAGAAATTGTGTGGGGAGGCTTCAGGGACACTTTACAAAAAAATTCTTTGGGATGCTTTGGGATTAAAGAGCATTAGCATGCTGTGGAGGAGGGCTCCAACTGCAAGTAGCATGTTTTAAGACATGTTTGGTTAGTGAAGGCATGGGATTCTTTTTAAGCCTTTCTGTTGCTTTTCCATATGCCTGGAGAGGCTCAGATAGGGGCTTATGGAAGTAAATGTGACATGTAGGCATGTGTGGGGGCAAGGCTAGGCTTGGAGGCTGGCCATAGATGCTGCAGGTGGCCAGTCTTTCTCCCCATTTATTCTGGAATTGCTTGCTGATTTGTGGTACTTAACACACTAAACTCGTACTGAAACCCAGCCCCTCAATACTGACTTTCAAAACTCTGCACCAGGTCACTCAAGGTCATCCCTCTTTCCTAATGAAGGCTGGTGTGGACCAGATTTTAGACCTTGTCTGCCCGCGGAGATCAGCGATCAACAGCAGACACACAAAGGCCTGCTATGGAAGGACTTTCCTGCCGGCTCCGAATCCACCAAAGCTTTCCCCAGATAATCAAATTCCACTGGTTAGAATGTTCAAATGCCAGTGATTTGCCATGAGTCTTCCCACTGGTGTTTCAGTTTCTACTTAGGTCATCTTACAAAGACCTTTAGCTGTACACCAAGTTACCTCCCTAAGGCTTTGCGAGTCCTCCCTACTTCCCTTTTTCTCTAGGGAAATGAGGATGTGCAAGGAGAAAGAAAAGAAGTGCTTGGGGGAAAAGACTGGAACAGTACAAAAACCTTCCCTTTTTCAGTGCCTGGCAGAAAATATGAAGAGTACAAAAAAGAGCAATGTAATTCCCTTCAGATTTTTCTTCTAGTTCCAGTTACTATCCTACCTTTAAGCATCTCCTTTTGAGCAAATGCAGTTTCCACTCCGATAATCTGAGATGCCTGCAGCCTGACCAAAAGATCTGAATTTGCACAAAACACTGGCACATTTCCTCGAAAAAGAAAAGGGGGACTATTGCTAGAGAATATTTATAGGGAAGATTAAAAATTAGAGTAGCTAACTGTCTGTGTCCACTCTGATTACCTTGATTGTCCCTTAGAGTAAAGTTGGGGTTGTTCGCTGCCTCTGGAGCCAGGCTGTAGTAGAAGTGCTGACCCTCCTGCGGGTCATCCCTGTCGATGGCACTCACTGTCTGAATCAGCTAGAGAATACAAGAAAAAAAGTAGAAACAGGTGAGAAGCAAAATATTCATAATATAAACAAACAGAGATATATGCAACTGGAGCATTTGAACAAAATTGTCTTCCAGAGGTACAGTCTTCTCTCAAGAACAGAAAAGATTTTGCTGTGGTCATACACATCACTTTTAAACAAAGGAGGAGATAGTCAGTTTAACTCAAATAACAGATACTTTCCTCTCATGCATCCCTATCTTCTCTTGCATTATTTTTTTGTCTTTTGAGGGCCCAGGTTTTTCAGAAGATTCATTGTGCACTAGAGAGCTTGTAAGAAAGCTCATGCTTTCAGCTTCATTATGCAGGTAGAAAATGACTTCAGGTTGATTATTTTGCCACTCTTTTAGTTTTTAATCAATAAAATTCTTCCCAAGATGTCAGTGGAAATCAGAGAAAAGCCAACCATGCAGAAACTCTGCATATGCAATAAATAATACCAAACTAAAAAACTAAGACAATGCTAAATCCAGAAAGAGATTTGTTACTTCACTTATAGAGGCTTTGTAAAGTAGGTCTAGCAGCTTGAAGCACAATGAGCACTGTCTGAATAAACATTCTGGCATATTTTCAGACAAGGAATAAATCTTCACCAGGATTTTTTTAACTTTAAAGTTATTTTGGGATTCAAAGGCAAATATTGCCACCCTAAAACTGATTTCAGGACGTTTTAAAGTGTGGCAATAGAATTTAGTGTTCTCTGCTGAAGGAAGTAGTCCAGATTAGCATGCATAATAATATTGAACTTAACTTATTACTTAGGACACTTACCATTCAAAACCAGGAAAAAAGCTTTAGGCAATGATTTCTATTGCCTATTTTATGAAGAATCTCTGCAAATTGGTGAGATGAAAATATCCTATATATGATAGTTGTAAGGACAGTTACCCCAGCAGTGAGCAGCTATTTCATTCTGCTTCACAGCTGGGAGAAGCTTCAGCAAACACACAGTGATACTACTTGCATAATTTTTCCTTCACAGATCATGAGAGGTGTGTCTATGTGTTTAAATGCTATTTAAGCTAGACAGCTTTGCATTAGGAGGCTCCAGTCCCCACCACAGACCCTGGTGGTGGAGAAGAAGTGGCTCCCCAAAAATGATCAGTGGCAGAGCTTGCAGCAGGCCCAGTGAGAGAGATATCATGTCTGTCTCTGGCACTGGTTACCTTGTTCAAGGGCTTTGATGGGGTTTTGCAAGGGAGAGGAGCAGAATCTTTGCTGCTTGCTTGAAGGTGCTGGTTTAGAGTGTGTGCAGTGGGAAGTCTTGTGTTGCTTTTGACATCTCCAGTTCACAGCAGAACATATTCTGCTTGGCACCCCCTTGAACCTGATGCAGTAAGTTATGTCCAGCTCCCGTAAGTCCAGGTGTGTTTAAGGCTCTTAAAAATTTATTAGTAAGCCTTGTCTGTCACACGTGGCCTGGGCTGATTCCGTGGCACTGCTCATAACACTTCTCCTCTCTTTGATGCTGCTACAGGACACACTGGCTGTTTGCCTGCTGGCACATGCCTAAGGGAAGGCTTTATTTTAGCTAGAAAATGTATCGCACAGTGAGCCTAAAATTTACTTTGGGAAAATAAAAGAAATGTGGGAGAAACAAAAGAGCTGCTATATGTGATGCTCCTTCCAGTATGATATGCTTGCCTTTGGAATGAAGCACAGATGGCTGCTGATAAGAGCTCAGATGAAATGTGTGAGTAGCTGAGCCCTCTTTCCAACACTCACCCTTCCTGGCATGCTGCCTCCATGTAGGATACCATGCCCTTCCCAACCCCTGGTGTTACGAGCATTTCTTACCTGGCCTGCTTTGGCATTTTCACAAACAAAAGCTTCATAAAATCTTGCAAACTCTGGTGCGTTATCGTTCACATCCAGGACTTTCACCGTCACAGAGACGCTGCCCACCTGTGAGGGGTTATCTGGAAGAAGAAGTTTAATGTAAAGAAAGCAATATATGGGGAGGGGAAGAGCCTCCTCCTCACGCTGCTCAAGAGGTAAAGCAGGTTTTCCACTACTAGCTTGTGTTAAATCACATTTTTGCATCGGGAACTGTGACTTGGTGACTTGGGTATTGTGTGACTCAGAGTGAAGCTGCAAATGCTGCTCTCTTTCTAGCCTGGCTTCCCATGTAATCACATATTTTACAAAAAAAACAACTCTGTAAAAGACTTCAACCTAGTTCAGTCCAATGAAATATTTCTACAACAAACATATTAGACAATGCCCCCTTTTGTTTTTTCTATTGTCCTTCAACAGGGCAATACTGTTTGTTGAGCCTCCCTACTGGTGGCATGAATTAGGAAGATACTGTTTTAAGGATAGACTTGTTATTTAAAACTTGTCAAAAATGGCAGATTCTATCTCCAGTTCAGATATGCTTTTGCTCAGAATTTATGTTCCTTGAACTCAAAAATAGTGTCAAGTCTTTGATACTTTGTACAGAGGGGTTTAAAATGTAATAACACATGAAATTGTACAGAAAAGCTTTCAGTGAAGCTTAAAATTGCAATGAAAATTTTACATTCTGCATGACATCATTTGTGATGTTTCTGTCCCACTGGTGCATTAGCTTTCTTTGACAGTAAATCCTTACATCTTTTCACATATCTTCACAAATTCCAGACTAAGTGGCTGCAAAATAATTTGTTTTTCTTACTGTGCTTGTCTGCCTCAAATCATAATTTTCCCCCCTTATTTAATGATAAAGTGGAACTGTAATCAGAAAGAAAAGAAATATTAAGGGACCACTAGTAGTGCAAAAATGAAGAAAATTCTTTAGTATTAATATTCTCATCTTCTTTCTATATGTAAAGCTTTGTACATTTATCTCCAAATATATCTCCCTTTATAGCAAGAAATGATATATTAATCTAAACAATAGAGTTTACATGCACTCTGGAATTTTCTTAAATGTTCAGTGTACTGTATTCCACAACATGTGTCACATTGTGTCATTGAGATAACACCCAAAAGATGTTGTTTCTCCCTAATTTATAATGTAATCCTTCAGCTTCCCACATATGCATACACACATCTTGCTAACACACCTGGTGTTGTGGCAGACGAATACCTGCATTTACACTCTAATTGATCTAACCTTTACCACTAGGGGCCTTCAGAAGCTCACAGCTAAGACATTTTTGAAACTAGTGACTAAATTAAAATATTGTGCTGCACATGTACAGAGCAAAACTCACAGAGGATTGATGGAAAGGGAACGGAAGGAAGACACGCCTTCCTATTGCTCTCTCTCTCAAGCGCTGCTACAGGGGCAGCTTTTACAGACTCATGGAATTGCAATGGCCATTGGTGGCTGAAAATAAAAGTAGTGTCAAAATAGATGGGGGTGAAATCCCATTGTCTCAACCCCTCTCACTACTTAAAAGGGCACAGAAAGCCATAATGTGCTGGAACAGCCTGAAAATATGTGGCAGAGTAACTCCAACTCTTGTGAAATAATCCCCCTGCTTTCAAGCTGGCCAATTGCAACTTGGGGAAGCTTGTTGAAACTTTGCTTCTCTCCAAGTGGCCCATATCTCTGGCACAGCCTAGAAGTTTCTGAGACACAAAGAATGACTCAGCTATTGCCACCAAGCTGCAGAAAAGCTTCTGTTCCTCACAGATGAACTGAGATCCTGAGCAAAAGCTATGTGAATTGAAGGAATTTCAGGTGAAGACTAAGTGAACCTTTTATTTGCCTATGTATCAGAAGTTCCTTTATGAAGCTCACATTTGTGAGTGTTTCAAACTCAGCTAAATTTTTCATACTGACACTATGAAATGAACATCTCCTTCTCACAGCCTTGAAAAATACCAACACAGATAAATCTGGAGCTGAATTTTAGCTCATTGTAAAACCCAAAAGCATAATGAGTTCAGCATACTCAAAGATCCCAAAGCACTCTGGCCCAAATTATTTATGTAGCAAGCAGATGGCGATGTCATTTACTTGCTGCTGAGCCAGAGCAGATTTCAACTAGTGACCTAGCAGTGTAGCATCACTGCTGCCTACCAGTCCCTGCACCACTCAATCCTCCCAGGCAGGACTGGGAGCTATAGCAGCTGTGCAGCCTTTGCAGTATTTGCTCTAGCTAAAAAATAAATAAAATGCAGCATTTGCTTGTTGATGTCAGAGCAGCAATTCACTTAATGTGTCTTCCCACTCAGTGCATAACAATATGTGAACTTTGAATTCAGGTCTCTCAGCCTGCTTTGTCTACTGTATCTCTATGTATCTCTATGTACAGTCTGCATTCTCCTTACTCAGCTCCATGGCCAACACTGTGATGTTGTGCCAAGAAATGTCCTCCCGGTCAAGAGGTCTTGCAGTCATCAGTGCTCCTGATGTTATGTCAACGTAAAAGAACCGTCCTGGATCACTGCTCCTGTCAATCGAGTATCTGCAAGAGTACACATGAAAAAATATTATGCAACCCTTGTGAAAATTGTGTTATAGCCAACAAAGTATCCCAGCAATGGGGATAGTGTTGTACACAGCAGATCCACATTCTTCCACAGCCTAGTTATGTGCTCCTTTGACTTGCATAGGTACAGAGTGAGATGCTGGAAAAAGTTCATGTGGCTAATGGCATTTAAGAGTGAGTATTACTTGAATTGAGGTGAAATACAGGAAGATTTAGAGGAATAAGCCTCAAAGTAAGGCACAGATCAGTGCAGGAACATCTGTTCTACAGAGAAAATCTGCCAGTGAGGAGTATAATTTCTTTTTCTAAGAGAAATAGTTATGCCCTGTCCCTAGGCAAATTCAGACAGGATGAAAATGGCTTCAGATCAGCTCATTCTCTGAGCACATAGGTTGATGAGGAGGAACAGGTCGTGTCCTTGGTTCTTCCGTATTCTCTCCTTCTTTGGGGGAATAAACTCCACCTGCATCCTGAAGCATGCTACTGATGGAGCTGTGTCAGCACAAGGGGAGTGATGCTTGGCTTTCTCATAGCATCCAGTCACAAAAACTGCTCCCTCTGTGAGGCTGATTCATCATAATTACTGAACCTGCCTGACCAATGTCATGTCAGCTCAGTGCTGGGAACCATCTTCCTGCACCTGTGAATGGGGGATTGTTGTGGTGCCTGCAGGCCAGAAAACCTGGGCAGGCAGGCAGCTGATTGACAGAGGTCACTGCAGTGCTTGGTCAGAGGGACAGTTTCTCAGGGTGTGTAAAATACTCAGTATCCTTCACAGGCATCGCCTTGCCCTTAAAGACACTTAGTGCAAGCTGCCTTCCCAGCTGACTCTGAGCACAGTAAGGGATACTCTGGCCAAAGCCACACACAGGCCTAGGTAAATGTCACAGCCTAGAACAGAGCCCAGATTTACTGTCCTTTTTGTTGGTTCTTTCATCAGAGTGGAAGGAAATTAAAGGCATTAGTCACAACAGACAATGAACAGGGCTCATTCTTCTGAATTTTCTCCTTTCAGCATGAATGTGTTCACTGGAACAAGCATAAGAGTCTTATCTTTATATAGGGACTTATTAAACCCAGATATAAAATTCTTTTACACTCTTTTTCAGAACAATCAAAGAGGAAGGGATTGCAGCCTTTCCTTCCCAGCCCTTCCTATCTCTTCTTAAATAAAGAGATTTCACAGGCATTTGATTTATTTAGACAACAAGTATGAGTGTTCCTATATTTTGGTATAGTAATTATTCTTGTATGAGGGCTATAAAAAATAATTTCTCTCTGACATTTTAAGGCCAACGAGTACCTGAAATTGAATATAGCCTTGTGATTAGTGGTTCAGAATTAAGCACAGTGTCAAGAGGCACTTTTTCTAGATTCTCCAGCTAAGTTCTCTTGTTAATGTACCTGCTCCTGCACACTTGTTTCCACTGTACTATTTAGATAATGTTCCTGAATCATTTAATAACAATCATGGCATGCTTCTAGCCATCAGAATTTCACAGTGTAGGAGCTGGGTACTGGATGCTGAGAAAGTGAGGATTTGAGCCAGATCACAGTTTAAATTCCATATGGATTTAAGCTTGTGCAACATAGTATGTATCTGGGTTTATTGTCTTTCTATCTTGCCTTGCCCTGTGCAGCGAAGCCTTGCCCTGTGCAAAGTGAATTTAGTCCAAGCTTAAAACATTGCCAGACTGATACTGCACTGTGTTGGAATGAATGGAGGAGACCGCAGAAGAGGCAAGAACTAATTCTTAGTATCTGCATTTAAATAGCCTTACAAATGGTATTTATTCTTACTTTTTCTCATCTGTTTCTTCACCTTAGCATGGGGGAAAGGAGGGAAGGAATGAGGGAAGAAAGGGCAGTGGAAAAGGAGGAAAGTGGGGAGAAAAGAAGAAGGAAGTTATTGAGGAACAGAGTTACAAAAGGGTCTGTGCATATTTAATTTTTTTTATTATTTTAATGTATCTTTGTTGATGGATTCTGTGCTTTATAGAGGGCTGTTCATCAAGGGCAGCCATTGCAAAGCTCTGAAAAAGACTAAGAAAAATCTCATTAAAAATAACAATGATCAATTCTACCCTATGATAGTCCTCAGAATTATTCTTATACTATTTTAAGCAGATTAGCAGAGAGCTGTTTGCATTGCAGGGTTTGGATAATGTCAGACAGTAATCAGCAAAATAGGATGTGAGTGGAAAAAAGTTTAGGGTAATGAAATTGTGATGCAGACAGTATAATAGTTTTACTGAGGAATTTGAAGCAATGTCATGAGAAGTATGATAACCTTATAATGTAGGCAGAAAAGATAGGTATATTAAAGTAGCATAGATGAAAAAAATAATTAGACCAGCAACGGGGAGTGCAATACCATTAAGAAGAACAGGCTTTGTGTCTGCTCAGATCTCTCCTAGCTGAAGCCCACAGAATTGCTCATTTAGATTTTACTTTCTTAAAAAGGTCCTAATATTCAATGTTTCAACTCCCTCCTGTATTTCCCAGGACTGTTCCTAAACAGAGGCATCTCAGAAGCTGGACTAATGCACAGGTAATTGAACAGCAGGTCAACACCCAAAACTCTCAGATGAGAGGAGCAGCCAACCTGCTGGGATAATAAATGTGCATTCACTGGTGGCTTCTGCAGGTAGTGAAAATCTGCGTGGGCTGGCCTCAGAGAAGAACAGCCTTCTCTGATAAATGGGGCTGGCAGCGGCTGGCAGCCACTATGGAAAAGAGTGCTATGATCACACAAATTTGCTTCTTTGGCTCTTTGCAGAGCTGCAGCTATGAAGCTCCCATGGCTGTAAATATACCTTAGCCTTTCTTACTGCCTTATGGGAATATCTAGCTCTGCATCTTTGACCTGACACTAGATAATTTAGCAGTTCTTGAATATTTATTAGCATGCATTCAATCTACTCCAGAAGTAGTTGTGTGTTAGACCTTGTTGACAAGGGCAAGCTTTGAAAGAGAAGGGGGAGAAAGGACGAGCAAGTTGATCACCTTGCCACAGGGATGGCAGCAGGTTCTCAGTGATGCTGTCAGGTTTTGTGCCAGCAAAGGCAAGATTTTGGGGTTTGTTTTTAATGTACACTATCAGGACATGCCTGACTGGCTCATTGCAAGGCTTGATGCAGATGTCCTCCACAGCACAGAACTGGGGGAGCTCCTGCATTGCTTTGACAGAGCCCTCAGTGTGTGAGGTCTGGTTTGCTAAACCCACTGATGATTACTGCTGGCTGGAAAGACGGAGAGAGACTCTCACCCATCACTGCCCCACCAAGCAGACCTACTAAGGAGTGCTTGTGGGTCAATACACAATGAGAGGACAGACCTGATGGAGTTGTTGGTCACGTCTGGGTCCTTGGCAGAAATTATCTGTATAGTGGTCCCAATCTCCACATCCTCAGGCACTTCCACAAAGTAGATGCTGGGCTCAAACACCGGAGGCTCATCCACATCCTCCACACTGATGTGGACAGTGGTGGTGTCACGGAAGGGACCCAGGTTCAGGAACCGCATTTCCAGGTGAGGGTTGGCACCCTCTACTTTCAAGGTGTAACTTTTCTTGCTCTCAAAACTTAAAGGCTGAGGGGAAAAAATATATCTACCATCAGACACACTGAGCCATATCATTATTACTTTTAATTTCAAGTGCAACAAAGAGAAATATTTGCAGATGCAGAAAAAGCATTGAAAGATAGTAGTATTAGAAATGGCATTGTATACTTTTCCTTTCTTTTATTTGATAGTTGAGCTGAAAAGGCCAGGAGAAATACTTGCAGATCACTTCAAAATACATATTCTTTCATTCTTTTTGCTCAAATGAAAATACAAGCAGCCATCACAACATTGCATTGTAATTCACACAACCTGTTTTATGCCACTTTGCAGAAAATACATGAAGAAGGAGACAGCAATGGGAGCAGCTGAAAATAAGGCAAGATAGTTGGTTCCTCAAAAATGGACACAGTGGCAGGAACAAGGATGCTCACACAGGAGGTAGAGGTCCCAGTTAGCATCCTCTTTCTCCCCTGAGGACTGGAATCTTATCTCCAAGAGCCCTGTGTGCCTAAATAAAGGGCTACAGTTAAGGAGCAGGGAACATGGTCTGCCTCTCTTGCCCCTGCAAGTTCTTATTCCAGTTTTTCTCTGTAATCCATCTGTCCTAGAAGTGAGGTTTTTTCATCTCCTCCTTTCAGTAAGTGTCCTAAATATGGGTTCACCATCCAGGTGTGATGACTGCTGGAATTTGAATCTGCTCCTTGCCTACAGAAGTTTAATTTCAAAGCAGTTTAATTATAAATAATCCCTGATATCTTCCTGTGGGAACTCTTCGACTTCATATGAAATGTGAAATATTAAATACTCAAGTATTATTTGAAGCAGGGAGTGAGAATAGTGTCCTTTTCCCTATTCCCTTTTCCCTTCTCTCTTTTCTTTCCTTTCTGAGACAATGGATAAAGAGTGCCAGCTTCCTCTGTTAGTAGTTACATAAATTTGATTTCCTATCTAGATAAAACTGCTTATTTGGTATACATGGATATAGAAGTAACTAATACTGACACTGAACCTCTCAACAAGTAAATTTTTCATCTCCCATCTTCTTTTCACAGATCCCTGAAGAAAATGAGGTGTCTCCAAAACCTTCTTAGAAATGAGTGAAAAATTCCATATTTAATGTGCTGCTTGCCAGTCTTGGTAAGAGATAACTGTAAGGATTTGACAAATCAGAAGAACAGTATGGCAGGATCAGTCCAAAATATAAACAAAATGTCACCAGATGAAGCAACTCACAGAGGATACAGTCAAGCTGTAGTCAGAAGTTGCAAGCAATTGTGCTGTGGTTAAATGGTCACAACCCTTGACTTGAATAATCTGGAGAGGCCTGATGCTGAAAACCAGCACAGCTGAGTTCCCTTAGCTTGCACAGATTCTGAGTGAGACAAACTTTTTACCAGGAAAGAAATGGCTAATCTCAGGGTCACTCAGTGGGGCATACCCCTCTTTGCTATATGAATAGCTTTCAAAAAGAGTGGCTTTATTTGGACATACGGATTTGACCCTGGAATTGCCACACACAGCAGCAGTTCATTTAGACTGCAGTAAGATGTCTGCTGTTCCCATCCAACCTCTTTGCTTCTTTTATTCAGCTCTTTCTTTTTGAAGACCAACCACTAGACTGACACACGGAGATGGGCAGGAAAATAAAAGAGAAGGAAGACACCAAAGCAATTGGAAGTCAAAGGTTCAAAGGTCAGTACTGTGGCAGTAAAGTTCTCCTTTGCCAGTCATAATCCATTTCTTTCCTGCCATGCTCAAAGCTGGCCAGTTCTGCAGCCATGAGGTGTACATTAGTTTAAACAGCATCAGCAGAAAATTTCCATGCTCAGGCATGGCAGCAGTATGTACTATGGACCTCAAAACAACTTCTGAATTCAGTCAAGTCTTCAGTACTTGTCTGCTGGTGCAACAGCCTCCTTCTTCAGAAGTGGAAACCTTGTAGTGACATACCACAGCTCATGATTTCACAGTAAATTACCAGCACTGACATCTTGCATAGGAATGCCTGACTAAAGACTGGCATTCTTGAAATTGTAAAACTGAAAATCATTGTATAGTCTGTGGCAGCAGCTACAAACAGGTGATCTAAAACTTGCTCCTGCTGCCTTTAGTTCCACCTGGTACATCAGTGACTACTGCAGGCATAGCACTTGTCAGCAAGGGGTTGGTGAGGTCTAGAAATGTAATATCCCTGGCTGCAGTCATTACTGTCTACTAGTTGCATATTTATGTGCTGTAAAAATAGCAGTAAGATATCCACAGGACCAAGCAGCAATTATTGTCCATCTGGCAAGAAATGTGCAATGCAAAGGTGCTTAAGCATATACTAAGAAAGAGGCCATTATATTAAATTGTTTCCCACATGAAGAAAACTGCATGAGAAACACTGCATAAAAACACTAAAAAGCGAAGTTTTAAAAAAAGCAGTTAAATCAGGGACACACCTAACAGCTATAAAACCCAATTATGTTATTAGAACACATAAGATCAAGTTGGAAAAACAAGAAAAATCAGACAAGACCATCACATTTTTGATGCTCCTCTTTGACTACATTGTCAAAGATGACTTCCCTCTTGTTTTTCTCCTGTACTAATATCTCAACACTACTGTCCCCCTCATCAGATTTGTCTCCCGTGGGTGCGTTCAAACCTCCTCCCATGGGGAGGACAGGCAAGTTGTCATCTCCTGTGAACTTAGCATGCTGCAAAACACAGCCAAGGGGAGAGGCAGCCCATGGAAAATGTTCCTAGTCCTTGTGCTCCTTCTGCCAAGTGCTGACACAGGCACTGAGAGATGGGACCATGCACGTGGAATTTAGCAAGACCCACTATGAGAAAATGATTGATCAGGCAATGTCAGGGGAGGAAGGTAGGACAGGACAGGGCTCTCTTGTGTGCTGGGCTGGCTGGGTAACCCACAACCCTGCCTTCCATGGGCAGTGCAAAAGGGAAGGAGGACAAAGAGGAAGGTAGGGTGAGCATCAGTCTCCCAGGCAGGGAGCTTGGAAGGAAGTGTAAATCTTCAGGAGGTGCTCAACATTTTGTGGAACTAGTAGGCTGTGATAAGTAGCCACAACACTATAAGCAACAGTCTTGTCAGTAACTGTCAGTTCTGGCTTTCTGATGTCCATGTTAGAAGCGTTAATTATTTTGCTTGGGAAATCTGTCAAAAAATGTTAAAGGGGAAGTTTTGCTTACTTTTAAATAAGATTTCATTCTTGGTTTAGAAATTCTCTCTCCCCTCTCCCCTCTCTCCCTGTTTTGATATCTTTTTATATCAACACCAGTTGAATTTATTTTTTGCTTTCTTGAGTGGATTCAAGTGGATCTTGAATCTTGAGTGGAACTTTCCATCTTGAGTGGATGGAAAATTGTTCAGAGGACAACTTTCCCAGTGTTTGGCTGTTGATAATTGCAGCATTACATAAAGCTAGACATACATAAAATATCACAAATATTTATGTACAGTAGGTGGATTGAGCAATATGTACCTGATGCCAGTACCTATCTGATATGATCGATACCACACATTTTGTAACTCTTCTATACATACATGAACATGTAGCAAAGCTGTATTCATAATAACAAAGGTCAAGCTTATTGACAAATGTACTCCATAAAAACTATTTTCTTTCATTGATAAATGAGTGGAAAATTACATTAGAGTTTGAATTCAACATCTATTTCATTCCAGAAGATATGCTTAACTTTAGGGACTAATATGCACAAAAAATAGAGCTGGGGAAAGGTGACCATAAACACATGCTTAAATGCTTTGCTGTAGGGCATAGAGGCTTGCAAGGTCAAAGCTGTCCCCTGTATTGTTCCATTTTAGTGCACAATTTAATCCCAGGCCATTTAAATGGAAACTATACTTCCTTATTAGTGCACTAGATATGCTTAGCCAGAAATATGGTTACAATTTCATAACCTAGAAACAGAGTTGAACTTCTAACATTTATGTAAGATTGTAGAATAAATATCCTATAGCAGGGAGCCTAAGAAAAATACTCGATGCCTTCCTGCATAGCCTGTGGTAGAGAGTACCAGCAGTTTCACAGCTGCCATTTTAGAGACAGCTTCCTCTAGCCTAATTAGCATTTATGGATCTTCAAGCAGCAATTAAAAAAAAAAACACTGCCTGGGTTTTATTGGTTTATAAATAATTCCAAGGCATGCTTTATTATTGTTTGTGGAACACCAGAGTGAAAAATATGTACAGTTCAAATGCAAATATTGATCTAATTTCTTGCATTGTAGGATAATTAAGCTACAGAGAATATTTAAATAGATAAATAGGGAATCAGAGCATTCCTTTGGTGGGAAAAGACATGTTTATGCTAATGCTGTTCCCACTTTATAAAAGTTGTTCCTAGGAATGCAGTCTGCTTTCATATTTTAGCAATAAATGTTAAAGAAATTGTGTTTTACAGCCAGAAAGGGGCTATTGTCACGTAATGGGAACCAAATTACTGCAGGCATAAGGGAATATTCCACATATAAAATGTAACCAGGACTGTTAGCCATATAAATTGCTATAAAAAGGAAACTTTTTTACCTTTCTCACAGTGATGATGCCAACTTGGTAATTAGGATCAGTGTTAATATCAAAGACATCCAGTCCATCTCCATCCACAAGGCTATATTTCATCTCTGCATTAATGCCTTCGTCCAGGTCTTTAGCAACCACACGGCCCACGGTGGAGCTGATGGGAGCAGACTCCAGCACACTCATCTGATAATGCTCTGGCACAAGCAGCACAGAGGGAGAGAAGAGAAAAAACAGGCTATGAAGAGGAACAAAAACAACTGCAAAGCAATGTAAAGAATGGATCAGGGAGGCCACAGCATTTCATGGCCTGCAGCGTCTGTAGTACATGTCCCAAAGCTGTGACACCAGTGTGATTTCCTGTAAAAAAAGCCACAGCCCAGCTAAATTTCCTGGAGCACTTTTATTTCGGTGTTTGTTACAGCAACAGGTTTGTTGAATGGGTTTTTTTAAAAACAGCAATACACCTGAAGATAGGAACTTCAACTAGAAAAATAGGGCAATTAACACCAGTGCTGTTGCAGCCATGAAATAAAGCAAGATATGGAACAGATTTAATAGGACAGGCATCTTTTTATTAGATCCGTTTGTACAGCAGGAATAAACATATATTTTGAGCACCACAAATCCTTTCTCAAGTCCCTACAAACTTCTTTTCAGCCCTGAAGAAAGCTCAGGAGCTTGCCTGCTTTTTTCAAATTTACCAGCTACTCTATTAAAATGTATTGCCTCTCCCTAAAAATACTGTCTTGAGCACATCTGTTGCATTGCTAATTTTCTTAGCAGCAAGACTGGGAAAAGAGAAACCTGCTATTTTAAAAGAGTATTTTGAAAATATAAATGTTGCATCTAAAATACTTCTCTGGCATCATGCTTTGTTTTCAAACCTTCCTTGCTGCATTCCCTCTATTGACTGCACCAACTGTTAAGCTTTACAAGACAGAATAACACCAAGGATGAGGTTTGATGAATTGTAATTTTTCTTAATCAAGAGTTTGATATCAGTTACAATTCATGCCACTTTCAAGACACAGTTGGCAATGGTGTGCTCAAGAAGTTGCTCTAACAGAAGAACAAAAGTGGAAGTTGAGATTTGTTGCTGATCTTAGTGGAACACTTTGATTTAGCAGTGCAACATGCAGAAACAGATGGAGAAGAAGAATACCAACAAAAAGAACTGCGGGAGTTTGCATTACTCAGCTAAATGAGGAAAATGTCAAAACCAAAATTGCTTGAGATTGATTTACACTACTAAAAGAATCAGTTTTCTTTAAAAATCCCAAATTACATCCCTTGAAAGATTTAGTCCAATCAAAACTGAAAAGCTTCTTTTGAATTCTTAATGGCAATACAGAATTATGTAAATAAATGTGATAAATAGAAATCTTACAAAGAGCAAAATATTGCAAATCTTGTTTTGAAGTTCACTTTTGTAAATACAAAGCAATGTTTCTGATAAGAGTGCAGTTGCTATTTTTGCATCCATTAATTATGGCTATTATATATCTTAGGTTTAACTGCATTTTGCCAAGGTTTAGATGAACCTTTCCTGTAGAACAGCTTGTATGACAACCTACTCCACACTGGCAGCACAGCTCCCAGATGCTCTCCTACTGTGGCTTGCCTGGAGTGTTGAATGAATTATCTTTCAACTTCCAGCACCACCACATGTCCCTGATTTGAGAGACATCCTCTGGAGATAGGATGAAAAGACAATCAGAGCAGCTATTAGTAGCCAAAGGCAATGGCCATGAGCAGTCTAAACACAAAAGTTCTCCTTCCTACGTTTTTCTGTAAATTAATTTCCCATCCATTAAAAAAAAAAAAGTGTTGTTTTTGATAATTTTAGAGGTCAGAAACTTTTTCTGAAAGGCAAAGTGTTGAATAATTAATTCCTTTTGACATTTTTCTGAAGTAGAGTTCCATGCCAAATCTGAAATTCTGCCCATCTCTAGTCATCACTATCCTGAGTTTGAAAATGGCTGTCATGAGAGCAAACAGCAGACATAAAACTCAGCCACCCCTTTTTGTGTCACGGCACCATGGGTACTCACTCTGTGGAAATCTGGGTGGATTGTCATTGACATCAGAGAGAGTGATGTTGACTGTGGTTGTTCCAGCTAATCCTCCCAGCTGTCCACCCATATCCTTGGCCTGGATAATCACTTCATAATATTCTTTTGCTTCTCGGTCCATGTTCATTAGAGCTGTTCTAATTAAGCCTGAGGTGGAGGGTGGAAAGGCGTTTGGGGAACAAAAGAAAACGGCAGTTAGAGAACACACAAAGAGAATGGAGGGCTCCTGCTCCTGCATCCTATTCCCTGTGTCAAGAATGAGACCAGGCTCTGCACTGAGTCCCCCCTTCCTGCCGGAGTAAAACTCACCCAAGTGGAATCTAGGTTAACAGAAGGTGTGAATTTTAGAGAAGTCAATTAAAATGCATCAGCTCTGGGACAGGCTGCCTGTTCAAAATTAAAATGTTGCCTTTCAAGGAAAAGCTTTTTGGGAACAGTGTGCTAAGTCGAATTAAGGCCTTGCTCAGGACGACTATCTCTGCACAAAAGCTGGAAGTGATGTTCTTTGCTGAAAGATCCATCAAGACAAGTTTTCCTGAGCACGCAGTCCTAGAGACCACCTGGAATGAGCCCGCGGGCTTCGCTCGTGTCCTTCGGGACCCAGGCCGGGGCTGCGAGTGCAGAATGTCAGGAGACGCCGCCGCGCCCGCTCCGGAGGAGCCACCCTGCTCCCCCAGACCGCAGGGCATCCCTTGTCCCTTCCCTTCGGGGTAACACTACTGCGAGAGGACATGAGGTGGCAGCAACACTTCTCTTACGGAGGCTGCGAGCGCCGGCCCGGGCA